CTTAGGAGGGGGCGTGTGTGGTTCTGGGGTCCAACTCAGGGCCCCCCCAGGGCATGCAAGGTGTGAGTTTTGCACCTTTGGAGCTAGTACTCAGCTCCTCACGTATTCCTGGCTTACCCGTGAGGAAACTGCTGGTCTCGGGTGGCGAGTGGAGCATCCTGTCTCGAAAGCCAGTGGTGCTGCTTCCAGGGTGGGGATTAACAATTGCTCAATAAACGCCATTTCGTCAGCACCACCTTTTGAAACAAGGGGTGCCAGGACTGAAGGCTGCCGGGTGCCCTGAAACGGGGGTGGGGTGGGATGGGGGTAATGGGTGGAGCCTGGAGGCAGGAGGGGTGTGGCGGTACCGGGAGGTAGGAGGGAAGGGCCGGTTCCAGCTTTTTTTTATACCTGCGGCCTGGCAGTTGGAACCCACGGAGCAGCATGGCGTGACAGCCGGGCTGGGGCAAGAAGGATCACTTTTTTTTTAGCCAGTCGAAGTTCAGGACGGGGCCGTGGAAAGGAGCACAGGAGAGGGCGGGGGTGGGGTGGGGGAGGAGGTCAGCCACGGCCTCCGCTGGGTCCTCGCCCCGTGCCAGCCTGTTCTGCGCCTCCCACTGCCCCGACTCGCTGGGCCCACGGCCAGCCCTCGGGTGTCAGCAACGGGCCCACTTTGCAGAGAGGAAATGGAGGTCAGAGGCTTGCTCAAGTTCACGCCTCTACTCTGTGGCGGAGGCAGGGTTTGAGTCAGGCGGGCTGGCCCCAGGGCCCAGGGCCTCAGCCTGGACCACAGACCAATTAGACACGACTGAGCTCAATGGGCTGGGCTCCCTCCCCCCCCGCCCCCCCTGCCCGGAGCTGGTTCTGTTGGGACTGGTCCCGAGGGTTAGGGCCAGTGAGGCTGGGGGGGGGGGGCACGGGCTGGAGGGGGGCTGCACTCGAGGGATGCCTGGGATGTCGGGAATGGAGAAAAGGCGGAGACACCATGGAGGTGGCCCCTGGGTTGTGCAACCCATTGCCCATGCAGGTCAGGCCTTCCCTGGCCTCCGGCAACCTCCAGAGGGGCACCGAACTCCCCCCAAAACCCGGCTGCTTGTATATGTGGGTGAGCAGGTGTCCGGAGGCAGGAACAGGGCTGGGCACCTGCCCCACGAGCAATCCAGGCTCGTGAGCTGCCCCGTGGCCCCTGCAGGTCAGAGGCCAAGTCTGTGTCCAAATGGCTGTGGGTCCCTCTGGGCTGCCTCTGGGGAAGGGATTCCTGCTCCATGGACACAGCCCCTCGCCCTGACCTGCCCTCTGCCGAGCACTGTGGCCAGGCCCAGTCAGTCCCCTGTCTCTCCCGGGTGGCACGTCCCTGTTCTCCATGGACAGTGGACGCCGCCCGGGTACCAGGCCCCTGGTGAGGGGAGCGGTCAGGGCCAGCCCCCATCCGCCTCCTCCGTCCCGGGGGGTTCCCCGCCTCGCTTCTCTGCCCTTGACCTCTCTGCCCAGTGCTCCCCAGGCCGGTCATGCCCCTCCCTGGATGGCGGCAGCGAGGTCCCAGCTCAGCCTGCAAGGAGTGTGGGAGGGGACACAGGCCCACGGGGACTCTGAAGGGGGGTAGCGCAGGGCAGGGTGGGTCCTTCTGGCCATTCCTGGGGCGCGGGTGCAGCAGCTTTTATTGCCGGGATTAGTCATGAGGTCGCATGGCCCCACGCTTGACCTCGCAGACTCATAAAGCAGTGCTCCCCAAAGGACACCGGAAGGTGCCAGGGTGAGAGCCCCGCCGAGCTGTCAGGACGTGCACCCGGATGCCTTCACCTCCCTCGGAGTCGGTCTGTGGGCCTGCCTTGGGCAGCTTGGCACTTTTTCCCTCTGTGCTTGCGAACAGGGTTTTCCTCGGGGGTCAGGGAGCTCTGGGCCTTGTGGGTCTCTAACTTGGCAGCAGCTCAGAGGTTGGTCTTTTTTTCCTTCCCAGCTGTGGGCTGGCCCTAGCTCAGCCGTCCGAGGCCCAGTCGGTCTTTCCACATGCACTGAGGCAGTCCAGTCCCAGGCCTACCCACGCAGGCCGGGCTGCCAGCCGGGGGCGGGGAGACAGAATCTTCCAGGAGATCTGGCCCAAACCCTGCTCCCCTGGGTGTGGGCCACCCACAGCCTCTCCACGCGGAAGTAGTCTACTATAGCCCAAGCAAGAGGCCAACCAGCGTGGCCACTGCTCTTCCTCCTCCTCCTCCTCCTCCCTGTGGCCATCAGGGACTGACACAGTTGGAGACAGAAGGCCCTGCCTGGTGTTGGCTTCCTGCCTGGACACAGGAAGGGGCGGGGCAGAGCAGGCCATGGGGGGAGGGGTTGGGACGAGTGTGTCCCCCAGTGCAGGCAGGATCGAGGGGCGTGCGGTGTGGGTGGTGGTGGTCCCTCGGATACGGTGGCTCTCTCCTTCGGATCACCTGTCACACCCGTCATGTCCCCAAGGGCCCACAAAAGGCCAACACCACCACCCCCCCCAAGGTGGGCCTTAGCACGGGGCGTGGGGCCTTCTAGTCCACACCAGAATCCCGAGCCCCCTTTGGCTGATCTAAAGCTCCCAGGCAATGGACGTGTCTGGGAGGGAATGCGGCGATGCCCAGCAGATCCAAGTCAGGCCTGTTCCACGGGGCCGAGTGTCGACTGCAGGGCAAGGCTCCCTCGGGACTCCTCCTCACCTGTGCTCCCGGCGCGGGTGCGTGTGGGGAGCGTTCACATCACAGTGAGCGGCCACGGCGGCTGTGGAAAGCTGGGAAAGCTGGCCAGCCGCTAAGTGGCCAGGGGCAGGGCTCGGGCATCTCTAGGAGGCAGCCTCTCCGGAGACTCAACTCTGGGTCTCTGCCCGGCGCATCTGGGCACTATTAGGAACTGCACCGAGCCCGAGCCCTTGTCCCGTCTGCACCGAGCTGAAGATTCGACCGAAATCACAAGGGCTGAGCAGGCTGGAGACAGGATTTACGAGGTAATAATAACGTGCTCTCAGATACGGCACTTTTCATCTTCAAAGCATTTTATAGCCATTTACTAATTAGTCCTGGGCCGCACTCTGCGGAGACAAAGCCCACGAAGCCCTCAGCTGCAGGCAGAGTTCTCAGGTCTGAGCACACAGGTGACTGCCGTCTGCTACAAACACGACTTACTGTGTGTGTCCGTGTGTGTGTGTCTGAGTGTGTGTTTGTATGTGTACGTGAGTGTGTGAGTGCATGCATGTATGAGTGTATGTCTGTATTTGTATGTATAAGTGTGGATGTGTACATGTTATATGTTTGTGTATGAGTGCGTGTACATGTATATATAAGGGTGTATGTGATGTGTTTGTGTGTGTATGTATGTATGTGTGTATGCGTGCATGTCTATGTGGGTGTGTGTGTTCATATCTGTATGAGTGTGTATGCAAGTGTGTATGTGTTTGTGTTCGTACGTGTATGAGTGTGAGTCTATATTTGTATGTGTGAATATGCATAAGTGTGTATGTGCGTGAGTATGTTATGTGAGTGTGTGTACATGTGTGTCTGAGTATGTGATGTTTGCATGTATGTGTGTATGAGCGTGAGTGCATGTGTGCATGTCTATGTGAGTGTGTGTTTGTATCTGTATGAGTATGTGTGTGTGAGTGTGTTTGCATCTGTGAGTCTGTGTGAGTGTGTGTGTGTATGCATGCGTATGTGTGTGTGTGTATGAGGGTGAAAGAAAGTGTGTACGTGAATGTACAACGGGAATGTATGCAAGTGAGTGTGTGTGTGTGTGTGTGTGTGTGTGTGTTGTTGGGGGGTAGGGCGCAGACAGGAAACAAAGCAAACCCTGGCTTGAGATCCCTGGCGCCTGAACTATGAGAAGGTCCTTCCTTGACACCCCCATTCGGCTCCCTCTAAGAAAATCACCCGAACTCTTCCCCCATTAGCCGGGGCCGAGTGTCCTTGGGGAAAGCATCGTCCCTGCTCTCGCTGAGGGCCCAGGGTGGAAAGAGCCGCCTGTGCCCTAGGAAGTCCTGCCCCAGTGCGGGAAGAGGCTGGGCTGGGTCTGGTCTGCCTACAGGCTGCGGCGGGGGACCTCTCGGCCCCTGGGACCGTCTCCCCGAGCCTGGTGCAGGCCGGCCTGAGCACTGCTGAGCGCCCCCAGGGAGAGGCAGGCTCCAGGTATCCCGGGGGAGGGAGTGCCCTGGTCATGCAGCTGTGGGCCGAGGGACGGTGTCAGCCGGGGTTGGGGTGTGCGCTGGGGTCAGGGTAGCGAGCTCAGCTGTGGGATCTGCCTGAAATCCAGGTGCCAGGGCCCGGAGGGTGGCCTGTGGGGGCCAAGGCTGGCATCGAAGAGGCAGGGCTCCCTCAGAGGGCAGAGATGGCATGGGGCCGGGGGCACGGGGCTTCTCTATCCGGGACCAAGCATCCACACACTGACCGCACCCAGAGCCGGGTGCTCCTGGGTCTCCCCAGAATATTCCCATGGTCCCCACAGGGCAGCACGGGCCAGCGTGCAGTCCTGGGGACTTGGCACACGTGGCCGTGTCTGGGGACGTGGGCTACAACCAGGGGGCTGATGAAGGCAAGAGCTGGGGTCCAGCTCTTCCCAGTGAGCTGCTTGCTGGGCCCCTTCCCCAGAGGCCGAGGGTGGGAGGGTGGGCTGAGGTCAGGGCTCAGAGCACTTGGGGCCTGTCTGCAGCGTGGGCAACAGGGCCTCTTCCTGGGCTGGGTGACCCGTGGCTCAGGGGCCTGGAGAGAGGATGGGGACAGGTCCCCACGGTCCTGAGCCTGACTGGGGTGAAGGGTTTGGCCACTCAGCGCCTTCTTCCCTGGAGGGCTGCCCCCAAGGGGACAAGAAGGGACACACAGTGCTCCTGTCAAAAGGAAAAGGCTGCGAGTCTCTGAACTTAAAAATGTCTTAGGGTGGGTGTGTGGGGGGGAGGGAGGGTTGCCAAGGGGGAGTGGCTTGAGGGCATCACATGGGGGGCCGGCGACGGCCATGGCCAGGCCATGAGGACAAAGGCCGGTGGTCACTCAACTTTCCCGGGCGAGACACTGTGGCAGGATGCGTGATTTTATTTCTTCTGGCGGCGCACAATTTACTGAAGGGAAGAAACGGGGGAGGCCAAAGGGGGTGGCGGGGGAGGGCTGGGCAGCGGCACGGGGGTCAGCAGGAGTAGGAGGCTCCGGGTGGGTTGGGGCCGTCGGGGCCATCGGGGGGCCCCCACGTGCCGGCAGACACGCGGCCGGCCGAGGCGTCCCCAGCCTCTCTGCCTCCACCTCTCAGCGCGGGCGTCTGCTAGAGCTTCCCGTTGGCGAAGGCGGCCTCCTGGAACTGGGGGACAAAGGTCCTGAAGTAAGCCCTGGTCGGGAAGGGGAGAGGGAGAAAACACGACACAGGTTAGCAGGAGCAGCCTGCAAGGAGGTGGGGGAGCACCCCCTCACCCCCCACCCCTCCGCAGCTGGCGGCCTGCCCTCCCCGGCCCACGCGCGGCCCTCTGCAGCGTTCCGCAGGGGTCCGCCACGCTGCTATCTGTCCTGCATCCCGCCGGGGCCTGGCAGACCTGCCGGCTGCCAAGTCCTCTTAGACTTTGGCGCAGGGCCCGGTGATAAGGCCCCGATCCAAGGTACAAGCCCTGGGCTGCCAGGCGAAGCTCTCGGCCTTCCCAGGAGCAACGGCCGCGCAGAGTCCTCGGGGCAGGGCCGAGATGGGAACCCGGGGGCCCATGTCCCAGGCGAGGGGGACGGGAGGTGTGCGGGGCTGGGACGGCGCGGACGTGGCCCCCGGTGCATAGCACTGTGGAGTGAGGTGGGGGGGGGGTCCTGTCCATCTCTCGCCACACGTCGGTCCACTGTGACTGGGGGCGGGGGGAGCAGAGACAGGACAAGGGAGACGTGTCCAGCCTGGCCACATCTTACGTGGGTGCGGAGGGGACGTGGGGGAGGGGCCACCACCAGGACAGGGTTCCGGAGAGTGAGGCTGCATGGCATCACAGCACGTGCGCGTTTGTTGTGTGTGTGTGTGTGTGTGTGTGTGTGTGTGTGTGTGTGTGTGGACAGCCCCCAGCTGGACGGGCTGGGAGCTGCATGACCTCTCACACCCCAACTGGCGCCATGGTCCCAGTGCAGGTGTCCTGACCCCGTAACCCCCGCCCGGCCCAGTTGGCACTGCCCCACCTGCTGCTGTGGGACATGGTGACCCCATGTTGCCCTGCTGCTCAAGGGGTCTGTGCTCAGGAGGGCATTGTTGCAGCCCGCCCCTGCCCCCGACAAGACACCCTGCCCCACCAACCTGCAGCCAGCCGCGATCACTGGCCCACAAGCCCCGTCTCTCCCGCAGACAACTCGGGGGCACGTGCCACAGTGCAAGGGGGCTTGGGGGTCCCTCCTCGAGTAAGCCCAGGACCTGGACCTGACGCAGCCATGGGCTCCTCCTCCCACCGCCCGCCCGTCACCAGAGGCGCCTCCTCAGTCGATGGACACCCACCGAGGGCAGCTGGGGTGCAGGGGAGAAGGACGAGGCATGGCAGGGTGGTGCCCCCAGACAGCAGGCAAACGTCAGAGCAAGGAGAAAGATGACGGCGACCACCACTTCCGTTGCCCCCCACACCTGCTCAGCATCCCCGGCAGCCTCCCCACCCTGTCGTGAACATGTGTCCCCGAGGGAGGATGCTGGCGGGCAGGACGGGGACTGAGGGTCGCACGAGCCGTCCCTTCCTCCCTGATTTCGTCTCCGGCAGTAGCCCCCCCCCCACTGCTCTTGGCAAACCATGCGGTGCCTCCCACCCTGGTGCCTCGGGGTGGGGGCCCGTGCTCCAGCGGACATTGGTGAATGTGTGTGGTGGCCGACACTCTCGGGACTGTCCCTGGAGCTGGGGGTGAGGCAGAAGCTCCCGTGTCCCCCGGCCCCTCCTCAGACCCGTCAGCTCCGTTCACTCTCCCTCCGCAGTTTCGGGGTGGGAGGCGGTGTCACCATCACACAACCCCCCGGTTCCCTGGTCCAGAGTCTGAGCTGGGGGTCAAGAGACAGTGTGCCCCAGCACATGACTCCTGGCCTCAGAAAGTTCCAGAGTTTCCTGCTGCCTGGGGCTTCCCTGGCAAGGTGAAAGGGGAGGGCGCCCGGGCACAGGGCCCTGAGGAGAAGCTGTGCCACCCAGGGTGGGGTCCTGGGGTCTGATCTCGGGGGTGGGGAGAGGGAGAACAGGCCTCGGCGGGCATGGGGTCCAAGGGGCAAGGTGGCTTGAACCCCGGGCTCCACGTGGAGCAGACAGGAGTAGTCCCCCGCGTCTCCCTGTGCCTGCCTCCACCCGTTTCTCACAGGTCACAAGAGCGACTGCAGACTTGGCCGGGGACGCTCCCTGCCAGCCCTGATCCCGGGGCAGAACCTGGGGGAGGCTTGGAAAGTGTGCTGGTGGGGACGGGGAAGGTCTCCCCACCCCCAAACACCGGCCTGAGGCGGAGGGGGGCACGAGCAGGTCCCTCATCCTACTCGCGTAGGGGGGTTCACCCTGGAGACCCGACCAGAGCGGTTCCACGACAGCCGGGGTGTGACCCACCCACTAGCTTCCCTCGCGGGGACCCCCAAGCCGGGTCTGGGTTTGAGTCTGGAGGAGGGAACCCCCAGGGCAGGCCAGACTCGGGAGGGTCCCCAGCTACATTGTCGAGGGGACGCAGCACATTGCCCTGAACGCTGATGGTTTCCAAGGGCTCCTGCCCAGCCCGTGTCCCCTCCAGGGCCGGCTGGGCTCACTCCGCACGGTGCAACCAGCCTGTCCTGGGTCCCATGGTGCGCTGGAGGGGAGATGGGGCCCGGGGGTGAGAGGAGGAAGACTGAGGCCCAGGCTTCCATCCGTCTGGTGTTAAGCAGGGAACCCACTTTCCCGGCTGTACAGGCTGATTCGCAAGTGATGGAAATGCTACCCACGAAACGCTGGTCCCGTTTACATCCCCAAACCTGGTGGTGGCTTCTTCCTTCACCTGCGCCATGAGGGCGGGACCCCAGCCACGGCCCCAGGGTCCCACCGACGGGTCACTGCCCCTGCAGGGCTCGGAGTGGAGAGTGGAAGCCCCGTGCCCAGGGCCTGTCCGGGAGAGGCATGAGAGGCCCCTTGCAGGAAGCAAAGGGGAAAGGGCCAGGGGGAAGCGAGGTCACGTCGAAAGCGTCCCTGGCTGACACCAGAGTTCTGGATGGAGTCAGTGACTCTTCCCAGAAGAATAAAAACCCACGAAGCCCACAGCTGGAACCACGACGCTCACAGCTGTTGGCCGGTTGTGTTCTGTTTTTGCTTTCGCCCTACTCGGTGGCGCGCAGGGGCTGCTCCTAGCTTGGTGACCAGGGAGACGCCTGTATGTGGCGCCAGGATGAACCCCGGGCTGGCCGCATGCAAGGCAAGGACGACAGAAACAGAGGCAACAAGCTCAGAGGTCGGGGACTCTGGCAGGAAGCGGGCAGGTGACACGGGGCACAGCCGGGGACCCCAGTATATCGGGGAGCGGGGGTCCTGCGAGCAAAGAGAACCTCGGGGGGTTGATTAGGGCAGTTGCTGCCAGGGCCACGTGGACGAGTCCGTGTCCCGTCGCCTTCAGCCACGTTTACTCTGAACTGACTTTCTTTTGCAAGTGCTTCAAAATGGCCTTCGGCCAGGGCAGAGCTCAGGAGTCTCTTCCTGGAATTCAAAAATGATTTTTTTTTAAATTTCCCCCTTTTGGGGCAATGGTTAAAAGCGGCTGTACGGCGGTTGCTGGCGGGTGGTGGTGGTGGGGGGGAGGGGGTATGCACGGGAGAAGTGGTTTGGGGACACGACCCCTCAGTGCCAGGCAATCAAGGACACGTAAATCGAGACAGAACCCAGTTTTGCAGAGAGAGGCAAGTTCCCAACATCTCAAGCTCATTTCTTTTTCCAGTTCTTGCTGCAGCTGTGACTCGCACCAGCATATGTTTGCAATCAGTCCCCCGAAAAACCGACTGCGGTCTCAGAATCAAAGCCAGCCCGTCAAGAGGGGAAGGCCAGGCCCTTCCCGCCGGACCCTCCCCGGGCCCTGTCCCTGTCCTGCGGTCCTGCAGGGTGCTGTACCTGACCCCTGGGGGCTGGATCCCCAGGAATGACCGGGCCCCCCTCCCGTGGCCTGCGGCTCGCTTCATGCAAGGCCAGTGCCCGAGGAAGCAAGTGGGCAGACAGGGGCCATTTACGACACAGCTCGGCCTGGGCGAGATCTGCGGGCTCTCTACCGGGGCATCAAACTAGAGGCGGTCACTGGGTCACCTACGGCCACCCCACATGAGCCACACAGCAGTGGGCCCCCCTAACCCCCCCACCCCTGCAAGGCAGCGGCTGGCTGGCGGAAGGGACACGCACAGCCCCGGCGGCCTTGTGCCCTGCCTGGAATCAATCTCCTCTCTGGCACCCTGAGCTCCCCCCCAAACCACCAGCCTCGAGGGCTGACCGGTCAGGGTCAGCGTCCAGCCGGCCTCTGAGGGTGGCCGGGCACCTCGCTGCCCGGTGCCGTCGCTGTCGTGCGTGCCCGCGGCCATCAGATGCTGCCGGAGGACTTCGCCTGCCAACCAGCCGTCGACATCCATTCCGAGACATCAAAGCTCGGGGAGGAAATCCGGGGCCGCCCAAATCACAGGGTGTTCTGAGGGCTTTACCGGAACCAGCACAATTACCAGCGGCTCTTCCTCCGAGCAGGCCGCTGAGCCTGTGGCCGGTGGCTCGGTCGCTCGGGGCGTGGGACAGGGCGGGGTGGTCCTCAGGAGCACCGGGAGGCCTCCCCCCACCCCCCGGGACACTTCCTGGCCCTGGTGCCTGTCTCTGCACTCGCATCTGTCAGCTGTGGCCCTTCTCCCCCCTCCCCTGCCCGAGGCTGGGGTCCCATAGCCCCTCACTTGGCAACCCTGGCTCTGCCTGTCTGCCGTCCGTCTGTCTGTCTCAAAGGACTGTGGCTGACCAAAAGCTGAATGGTGGCCGCATCTGTCACAGGAAGACCTCTCAGAGGGGACACAGTCCTGGGGTGATGGGGGGGCAGGGGGGCCGAGAGGGTTGGGAAGGGGGGGGCTCTGCTCTCTGCCTGGACTCGAGGAGCATCTCCAAAGTCCCTGGGGGCCACCCTGGGCCCACTTTCCTCACGGAAGGCGCGAGTGTTGGCGTTTCCCCACCCGGCTGCCCTCCCGACGGTCTCACTCTCCAGAGAAGCAGTTTCCTGAGAGGAAACGGTGATGAGGGGCCGAAGGGGAGGCCACCGAGGAAGGCTGGGCCGGGGGTGTGCTGGCAGGACCCTCGGGCTCCCCTGAGTCCCCTGCACGGGGGCCGCTGAGGCCAGGCGATGCCCAGAGGGGCGGGGCCACTAACGGGGACACTTGGAT